TGCGCTCTTTGACGCACGTGCCATTGACGACGAAGACTGATGAAAGCCACGAGGCACTTGAACGTCTCACATAAAAATAAATCTTCACACAATTTTTTACAATTGATGACCGCTGCCTGTGCGCAAAATAGACCACGCCTGAGTAGTATGTGAAACATATACGGTTCATACTTACTGTGACATATCCGTGACTAAGCTGAACGCTACTAAATCGCTCAAATGTTCCCGGATTGCACCCGTTAAGAAATGTCCTCGAGCAAATTACGACCGAGCTTTATCATCGCCAGAACTCCGACACCGCCCATCCTGATGTACACAAAAGCTATTGCTAAGCAAAACACGAGCGTCGACTCGACGAGATGCGTGCTCCGAATATCCATTTCGAGGCCCGCCTAAGCCAAGCATAAACGCGCCCGCCGGCCAAGACGTCACACACAAACAGCTACGTTTATTAGCTAAAACAGTCGAGTCAGCCGCGGTTGAGTATTTTCGAATTATTTAATTTTAACGAAAAAACATTCAAATGGTTCAATGAACATGACCGCACTCGTTCACTTCCGAAAGCGGGCTAAAAATGCCAAAGTTTTTCACTTCCGCGCCCGAAATGCACATCGGACCGGGCCTTTCATTATTTACGAAAAGCAAACAGTCTCGCCAAACACCTACACGCAGTAGAACGGGATAACGTCGTTGGACGGCCCCATTTCATGCCCCATTCAACGCAGCGGCGCGCGGGCTTCCTCTGCATTACCGACAATGCGAAAATGCATCAGATAGGACGCTAGCGCAGTTGCACTAATACGACAGGTGTTATTTTCGTATTCTGTGCCTCAACTCTATCGCTACCGGGAAACCGTTTAGCCTAGCAGAACGCCCTGAGTTCCCTGAGATCGGCGCGATTGGTGCCGTCCACAGGGGTCCCCACATTTCAAAAAGTATAAAAAACCTCTTGCCGGTTGCGGTCGGGCTAGGGCCCTGCCGGGATTCGCTGTAAGACATCAACAGCTGCTCAATCTTCATTGGCTCTGCAGCCCTCGTACCCTCCGGCATCATGCCGCAGTCACGTACTAGCCAATAGAAAGGGATCAAACGCGTGTATTTTACGTACTAGTGTATGCAGAGCTGAAATTCCGCCGCGAGCAGCGCAGTCCGGTGAATGGCAACTTGGGTGCATTCGTATCGCGATGGCGCACCGAATGCCTCACAGGAGGATAGCCCAGTGCTTCTCCAACGCGCATTCTTTCGGGACGCGGATTCAGGTATTGCCCTGTGCTATGCGGTTACGTGTGTCATAATCTAAGGGCTAAATCCATGCTTAATTTTCATCTCGATACTACAATCGCTATAGTCGCCTAAGGCGAATGGCGTCTGCGAGGCAGTCAATTATCGTGAGCGGCGAGAACGAGCAACGGTGTGGCATGTAAGTAAATCTGAGAGCGGAGCAGAGGATTAGACCGAGAGACAGAAATGGCTGGAGATAGAGACAGACTGAGAGCGAAAAAAAGCGAGAACGAGAGAGAGGGACAGAGAATGAGAAAAGGGGAGAGAACGGGAGAAAGTACGAGAGGAGAGGGAGAGCGCGAGAGAGAGAGAGCAAGAAAATCTGAGAAACGGAGAGAGAGAGGAGGATGAGAAAGGGAGAGAGAACGAGAGAAATAACAAGAGGAGAAAGAGCACGCGAGAGAGAGAGAGAGCGCGAGAAAATGTGACGAACGGAGAGAGAGAGAGAGAGGAGGAAAAAGGGAGAGAGAAAAAGCGAAAGAACGAGAGGAGAAAACGCGCCCCGCCGCGCGCAAGAGAGAGCATTCACTGATTCAGCCTTCAGGGTGCCTATAGACAGACTGCTTTCGAAAATAATATGGATTTGAAGGAGGGTAAACCTTGTTCAACAAACATTTGCTTTGACATTCTAAACTGTGCCAACTGTAGCTCACATTCACTACCAGGTAATCTGGGCCCCCTCCTAATAATGTCAGCAAGTCCAGTTCACGCTCCTTTTCGCTTAACAGTGAAGAACATCCACATGTTTAACCCCTGCTGCCTCTGAGCGGTCAAAAGCATTATCAACACTTTAACTCTCGCCATGTCAGCCATCGAAAAAGTACATTTTATGGCGACCCTTTCATAAAGCCATCAAAATGGATTAGCCTAGTCACCGCTGGAAACAAAAAGTATTTATCTCAATCGCTCCGTCAGATCCATGTCCTCAGAAAATGATCTAAAATTCTGCCCTCGTGGCCTATTGACCTATTGACCGATGGACCTTCAATTCGGCACTATAAGCTAGACTGCGCCTTTTTCTCTTTCCACTCAGATTGCTATACACTCCACGACACTCTCTCTCTCATCGACGAGACCTACGGGTCGCGAGCCGGTTTAGAATTTCTGGTGCCTGACAATTCTGCCATTTCCCTCCTTGCTATACTTTAAGTTAAGGAGGGAATGTTCCCCTCCTTTTTTGACACCCTCTGCAACTTGAACCCACATGGCTTGTCGATTATCCAACTCCGTTTCAGATTAACCCCCCCCCCACGTCCGACTTTCGAATCCGACTACGTCGAGCCGTTTAAGATTTGTGCCAACTTCGTTCGGCGACCGAGCGCCGGACGCACGGACCGCACCGCGACGGGACTGGCGGCGCCACGACGCACGCCGACCGCACGCACGGACAAGACCGTCATCGCGGATTCTACACACGCTGCATCATGACCTACCGTCAGGCATGACGCTAATAAAAAGAGAGAGAGAGCGGGGGCGAGACGAGAGAGACGAGAAGTCAGTGGCGCGCGTGGAGCGTAGATTTAACGCTTCTGCTCCCTGCCAGCCGGTCATAGCCATACCCGACGGCGTCAGCGCCCTTCCCCTGTCAGGCGCCTTTCCTGCCATTTACCGACGTCCCCTCTCACCCCGTTTCTTCACATGCTCCAGAACGACGGACGGAGATCGGGCTCGAGGAGGTGCTCCTCTGTGGGTGCGCAGCGATGTTAGGACGAGGGCATTCTCGCCTCGGCTGAACACGCCCTCCTCCTGTACATCGATCCTAGCGAGCTGGGTGACGTCGATCGCCTCCGAGCCCGGGTGACCTCGCCCGTTGACGTCGATCCCCAGGTCCATCATCGCTCGGAAGGCGACACCTTTCCCGGGATGCCGGCCGTATGTCGCTCTTCAAGAGCCGGCGCATTCGCTAGGGCGGACGCGACGGGAGCATGCCGCGGGTCACGCTGACGGGATGCAGTGGATCACGTGGATGTCGGTTACTCGTCGGAGACTCGATTACGAGCGTTCTCGTCTAAATCCTCGCTCTCTATCTCCTTGTCTATATATCTTTATTCATCTCTATTTCTTTCGATCTCTATCTTCCTCCGATCTCCATATCGACGGTTTTATCTCCAACCCCCCCCCCCCTGCATCTGCGTAATTGCGCTCATCTCCAGTTATCACGGGGCTTTTGTAGATCGACACCCCCCTTCATTTCCCCCTTATCAGGTTGTTTCCTATGCCTCTTTCGTGTCTATATAACTGTACTCCATACTCTTCTCATCATCTTTATTCCCTCATTATATATTAATCTAATCTTGCTAATTGTATTCTTTATCGTGGGCAATCGACTATAGCTATTAAGCGCGCAGTGTGTGTAGCAGATATCAACACGATACTACAGTACGGGTACTTACCATATGTAGCGCACGTATATATAGTTATCATATATACTATATATATATATATATCCTATACATATGCTACATAAATATCATATAATGCGTGTAGTGGCTCACCATTAGGTATCCTACATATTACATAATACCTGATTATTAGCGCTATTAGAGGCTAGTTATTACCGCCTGTTGATAGTACAATAGCATGTCCCTCACCCACCATCGCCATCTGTGCCGCGCGCTGCGGCTGGCATGTGGTTGATAGTCCTCTGCACGCACTCTCGCTCGCCAGTAGGAAGGAGACGAGAGCTTGCCCTCTCTGCCGCAGGCAGGCCCCGCCCTCTGCCGGCTACAGGCCGCTGCGGCCAGCTCTCCCAGGGCAGACGCCCATGCATGACGTCAGGATTATGCTCGCTAAGACGCGAGCGTGTCCACGGAGAGCTATCATACGACAACGGAACAAATCTGGTGTATATTAGTATGTACGTGCATGTGTCGAACTTGTACACAACACATATACACACCCCCTATGCGCGGACATCTCACGTGTCTAAGGCGGCGGGTCGTTAGTTTGGCGTTCTCATGTGTGAGTGTGTGCTGTGGTTAGTGTGCGCGGGGGGGACCTCTGTTGTGGTTGTGTGTGTGGCTGTGTGTTATGTTGTCGTGTGTGTGTTGTGTGTGCGCGCCGGCGCAGCCAGCGCGCGTGTGTGTGGTGTGCTGGTCGTGCGCTGCAACCACGCGGTGTTGTGATGTGTGTGTGCGAATGTGCTGTCGTGTGTGTGTAGTGCCGTGTGGCCTCTTGCAACCTGTGCTCTGTAGTTGTGTGTGTGATGTGTGTGTGTCAGTGTGTGGACTGATGTGGTCGTGCTGCGTAGGTGACAAGGTCTCTCGGCCATTGTGTGTGTGTGTCGCTGTGGTCGTGTTGCGGTGTGGTGTGCGTGGGGTGTGTGGTTAGTGCGTGCGGTGCGCTGTGCGCACTCCATCGTGATGTGTAGATAGATAGATAGATAGATAGATATAGATACACTGAGAATATATGATATGATACGGTAGTTTTGAGCGTAATTTGCCTTGTAGTTGTCGTGTACAAGTATAGGTATGTGTGTAAGTATAGGTGTTCTGGTAAGCATTATAGGGTAACAACAGACACATGTGTTTAATAGTAGCTCGGTAAGTGTTCGGTTACGCTTATAAAAAACTCGTGAACGAAATGATGAATGATGATTACTTTTTCTGCGCCACGTTCACCAGAAAATGGATGATTTAAATATCGCTAGCTGCATGCTGCGTTCAATCCGTAGCCATTGAAATTTGTTTCAAGGGTAATTGCTTTCTTTTTCCTAGATTGGACATCGGCAAAATCCTTGATATTAAGGCTTTTGATGCCGGCAGTCAAGCAAGGTAATACAAATTATATATAGATATTTATATGCGCGTGTGTGTATGTGCGTGCGTGCGTGCGTGCGTACGTGCTCGCGCGTGCGTACATGTGTGTCTATTTATCGTCATGGAAAATGGAACTAAATTCTTTTTCAATGAGTATGGTAGAATAAATATCAAAATCATTACAGAGAAGCTTTTAAAATCCGACGTACATTTAAATTCGCCCACTCAACCAAGAAATGTGTTGAAAGTGAAAGCTAGCGTTACACTCGTGTTTTGATCTTGCCAACGGCTTGTTCCGACCTTTCCTTTTTCAGAATCAACACATTTAGTGAGCAGCAGCAGCAGCATCGGCCTGATACAAACACGACGCGAGATCACATCGATAAGGTGAGATTTGCTCTGTGGTCTGTCGGTCGTGTAGGTAACAGAGCAGGGAAGCCAAAAAATGTACGCCTACTGCGTTCTAATTGCTTTAATGCGGAATTTATCAAAGGATGTCTTTATCATTAGAAGAGATGCTTTGAAGTTTGCTTTAGGTTATTTGTCTCAGCGAATGTTATTAGAGCCACTTATCGAGTAAACCGATCTAGCTATTGAACCGCAGTTGATGGCTGTGGCGTCTAATTATTGATTAAAAATTGATGTAAAATAAGGTGAAAAAAATTCCGAGGGCACGCGTGTGCTTGTGCACGATAGATTACCGAGTGAGTCGCCGACATATGCCGAGCAGAATGCCGATAGGGCCTACAGTGAGAGGACACATGATCTTGATTAATGATGGGATATCATAGATATGCTAGCTCTCTTAATAAGGATGCACCTCCCATCTTCGATCTCTGTGCGATAGGCGCCCTCTCTGCTTTGCGCGTATGCTGTGCATTCCTTTTAACTTTAACATGTGCTAACCGCAAATAACTCTGTTGATCACTACCTCCAGTGCCTCTATGTATTTATCTATCTATCTATCTATCTATCTATCTATCTATCCACATTCATCCATACATCCATCCATACATCCATCCATCTATCCATCCATCCATCCATCCATCCATCCATCCATCCATCCATCCATCCATCCATCCATCCATCCATCCATCCATCCATCCATTTATCCATCCATCCATCTATCTATCTATCCATCCATCGTTCTCTCGCTCTTTCGCTCTCTCTCCTCTCTATAATATATCTATCTCTATGTGTTTCTCTCTCCCATTTTCTCACTGTAGATTCTCACAGAATCGCTATCTGCCTCGTGCGTGGCGAACGTCCATCAGCTAGCATCTTCTATGTGACGTTGCATGGCTGCTGGTGCATGGGTCCAGGCGGCCTGCATCGGCCGGTGCGGAAGGTTTGGTTCTACGCCAGGCCGTTTTCTGCATTGATTAAGACCTGACAAGTGCTTCAGTGTCGCATTGATTTGGCACGGGAGTAGAAAGCACTCCTTGAATAATTGATAGTCGGTAATGCATAGCGCGCGCGAAGGACTCCTGTCTTCGCACTCTGTGATATTGACCGCGCGCGTCGACGTCAAATGTTTATCGCCTATGAGAAAACATTTAACTAACCCTCGCTATGCTCCTATTGACCGGCGACGGCGGCCGTGAAGCCTTCTCTGAAGCCCCGAGAAGCAAACACAACGACAGGCGCGCACGCTGTTCCACCGAGCATCGTCCAGAGATGCTCCGAACGAGAGAGAGAGAGAGAGCGCGTGTTGTTTTTCTTTCTTCAGCTCTATCTCGCTCGCGCGCGCACGTGGCGCGCCGACCGATTCGTAAATGGCAATGTCGAATCGCGGGGTTGACCGATTATCGAAGTAGCATGCCGTGTATCCCGCGCGCTGTGCGTGTGGGGTGGGGTGGAGAGTACGGCAGTGGCTATACAGGGCAGGGGGCGTCCGTACGTTCGCGCGTCGGAAGTTTGTAACTAGATGGAAAGAAGCGAGCTTGGGTTCATGACGGGATGCGGGCCGGGGTACACCTGAGCGACGGGATGCGGGGACATACGTGAGCGACGGGATACGGTATAGATACGGTACACGCGGCATATGCGGGATACGGGATGGCGTAGGGGATCCCACACAATTCACGTGTAGCGACTAGCTTGTATAGGTTGAAATAAATAACGGATCGTCGTCGTTCGTAAATCGGATGTTCATATAACTCGGTGTCGCCATGTTTACTCACGTGCCACTGTTCCGGCTGTTGTATATTCTGCGTATATTGTCATTGTTGTATACATCAGTTGTATACATAATTGTTGTACACATCATTGTTGCATACATCATTGTTGTATATATCATTGTTGTATACACCATTATTGTATATACAGTATACATCATTGTTGTATACGTCATTGTTGTATTTTTAAGCCGAGCTTATGTCGGGTTGCGATTGCTTGCGACGCGACGCGACGCACTGCAATTCACTCGCGTCTTTCGGGCGTAGTGCGACTCATATCACACGCCATTGCTTTTCCGCCCGACCGTTGAACGTTGCGCGTGTTTCCTAGGATGTGACCACCGTCACGTTTGATGTGGACGGAGACGTCAGCGAAAAGCAGCTAGACTCGTTCTTGGAGGAGTTGCTGTGGGAGAAGACGGTCAAGAACGCGGCCGGAGCAAGCATGGACATTCTGCGACTGAAGGTATCAATTCAAATTAATTCAATCGTCAGACATTCGCTCGCGGATAACCGCCTACCCTCCACACAGTCGTCGCACGTATATACAGATAAAACCTATGCGAACCGATCTATGTGTATTTTACATAACTATCATAACTACACATTACTAGGTTTAATATACATTTTTTTATTGGGTTTGCATGGGCTTTAAGGAATTTTTTCGCGAGCGGAAAACCACGCAAATATGCTTGATCAATATTTCGTCATTAAGTCGTTGCCGTTGTGCTAGATGGCGACGCGACGTCGACTGCGCATTATTAAATTCGAAGCAATGGGCGACTGCTGTGACAGTCTATGGTTACACGTTGCAGGAGAGCTGTCTCGGATGCTCTCGCTCAACTGCTTATTCGTCCCATCGCCGCTTTCTCATTAAATGTGTGCGCGCATACGAAATCTCGTTGCCATTCGTCTGCAAATTTATAACGCTTCTCTGAATAGTCGCAGAAGAAAATGACTCACAATGTTGCTAACGCAGACTGCGATTGAACGCCTGTCGTGTGCGCTGCCTCGTATACGAACGCTGGACTGTCTTTTGTTGAATTTTTGGGCGCGAGGAATTTTTCAGTATAGTCAATGTCGTGCAAGAGCTCTCGCTGTTCGTCATGTAGCAAAAGGGGTTCCATATCTGCGAAAGAGGATAAGAAGGAGTGGTGTGGGGAGTGGTGGGTAGAGTTAGAAACATTTAGGAGTTTGGTGGAGCGTTAGCGGGAACAATAGAAGTATTCGAGGTTGTGACGATGATGATGGCAGCGACGACGATGACGATAGTGATGTTCACGCTAGTTATTTAACAAGCGGTATATACGAGGAGGATATATAAAATGGAGATGGTGATGATGATGATGATGATGATGATGATGATGATGATGATGATGATGATTATTATTATTATTATTATTATTATGGTGGTGGTGGTGATGATGGTTTGGTGGTGGTGGTGGTGACACTACTGCTGCTGCTGCTGCTGCTGCTGCTGTTGATGGTGGTGATGAATTTGATAGTGATGCTGGTGACAGTACTGTAGTGATGTGGATGAGGATAGAGAGGATAACGATATCAGTATAAATTTTTTTTTTTACTATACTTGCTTATGAAATAAGTTATGAAATAAGTTTTCTGCGGCTATCGCGTCTCCAAATTAAGAGGGGATATCAAGTGTACATTCGCTCTTCTGCTGCATTCGTGGTGACATTCAAATGTTGATGTTTGCATGGCAATGGGAGTTTTCAAATCTGGCATCTGACGAGCTGTGGGCGGGTTGCTGACGCGGAGGTTGCATGCCGCAACAGATGTTTCCGCCTGCGCCATCCATCATTGCTGCTCTTAGTTGCCAACTCTTGTGTCAACTGTTTATTTTCACCGGCGGCCCTTTCGGCTGTTTTTATACCTGCCCGGCGCGTAACTCTCGCCATACACCTTTCAGCGCTTCGTGATTTACCGCCGATTCTCTCTCTCCTCAAGGAGTCACTTAACAGCGTTTGGGAGTCCGTGTGGCGCGTTGGTTAAATGTGGGGCCTGTATCACTGATACAAAGCAAGCTCGTATTTCTGTGAAAACCCAGTCATTATATCTCTAGTGGGACGCAGGCTCATATATATATATATATATATATATAGTATACAACACAGGCTTAAATCTGTAGTATTATATAGGGCGGCCTCAATTGTGTAACACAGGCCTGTACGGTCGAAACATGGCGTGGCGCGCAGTGATACAATAATACCCTGATAATACATATATAGCAAAGGCTCCTGCATGTGGCACTTAATGTGACATGGCGCTACAATATGGTATCAGTGCTATAACACGAGCCTGTGTTACTGAGTCCGCATTATAGAGACTCGTTACTGAAGCCTAGTTTAACGGGGGTTTGTCTAAGCGGACAAGAGAAAACATTGGTTTAATAAATACTCAGTAAAACTAGAAGAATGGCCAGAGTGGCCGAATATTGAACTTGTACTGATGTAAATGGCATATCTTACCTCATTTTGCAGGCATTATTCACCTTGACTAAACATTTTTCCAGGCATTTGTTACCTCTGGTATATTGTGTGGTACAGTGCACGAACGTGGGTATATGTATTGCAGGGAGGGTGTAGAGATGCTGCAAGTCGAACCATTGGCGCTAGGCCAGCTTTCAACATACAACGCGGCGCCAGGGAGAAGCGCATTTATTTGTGAATGACGGGGACTGTTTCTTGCATCCGAAACGATACGGTATTGATCTGTCAAACTTTCTCGCGGTAAGAAGTCGCGCTGCACTAATGCAAAACGTTTCGTAGAATTAGTGGGCGTGTAGGACCTGCATAGCGCATGTCTGCTCCCCTTACTCGATTGCACGCCAACTGATGCTAATAATTATTTCGATTTGTCAATAAACTGTCAAATCGGTTTTTCCTTCCCGTTACCGGATACCGGCGGATGACGTCCGTTAAAAAACGCAACTGATATATGGCGAGTGTGTACACAGCACTTTGGCAGTAGTTACATATACAATAATAACAGCTGTGCGCCTGTCCGTGGTGCGGGCATTTGGGCCCCGTCCTGCAGCCGTATCAAATCTCGGCTTTCCTAGATAGTTTTCGTTTCACGACCATTATATGGAACATCAAATTGCGTGCGGTAGAATCGGCGGTCGGCATTGCGGGCGCGCTCTCGCTTAAATCGGATGCCTGCATGCGAGTGACGTCACCGTCTTGAATCATAGATAAGCGATCTCAGTAATGAAGTCGCGCTTGTGATTGCTGCTGTTTGAGCAGATGCCATGTGCAGAAGTAGATAGGGCGGTAGGACAGCAACCAAGCAAACACACAGCTGCGTGAGACATCACATACACCGCTCTGTAATAGGGGAGTTGGAGAGAGAGAGAGAGAGAGAGAGAGAGAGAGAGAGAGAGAGAGAGAGAGAGAGAGAGAGAGAGAGAGAGAGAGAGAGAGAGAGAGAGAGAGAGAGAGAGAGAGAGAGAGAGAGAGAGAGAGAGAGAGAGAGAGAGAGAGAGAGAGAGAGAGAG